TTAAATGCAAAACACCAGCAATGGGGAGCCAGATCCACAAATTCCCGAGGGCGAACATTGCTATCTGCACTTAATTCCCATCGCAGAAACATCCTTTCACCTAATACTCCCACATACTGGCCAACAGATCCCAACCGCAATCCCGACCTTCTAGACTTTTTCCTACACAAAGGTCTAGGATCATTACACTGTTCCATTTCAAGGCTTGATGATCTTTCCTCAGACCACAGTCCTATAGTCCTAACCGTTTCCACATCACCCATTCCTAAATCATCCCCTCCTTCATTTATCAGGGGACCAGTTAACTGGAACCTTTTCCGTCAAATATTGGATGATAATATAGACCTCAGAGTTTCCTTAAAAACACCTGAAGACCTTGACGATGCAGTGGACTCCTTCACTACCCTGATCCAGCAAGCAGTTTGGACTGCATCCTCACCTGATCGTCCCAAAAAACACCTCAGTATAAATCCTCTACCCCAAGACCTATTGGACCTTATCCATAGCAAACGATGCTCTAGGGCCCTCTGGCAAAGAACCAGGCATCCTGATGACCGGAAATCGTATAATTATTATTCTAAACAGGTAAAAAAGAAACTGGATATCTTTAGAACCCAATCCTACAATTCCTACCTTTCCTCATTATCATCTAGTGATAACTCCCTCTGGACTGTAACTAAAAAAATCCTTAAATTCCAATCCATTTCCCACCCCCTCCGCCATGATGATGGTTCCTGGGCTTCGTCAGATGCGAATAGAGCTGAAGAGTTTGCTAAACATCTATCCTACACATTCACTCCCCATCCCGAACTCCATCCCACCCACACTGCTGAAGTTAAAGAATTTCTCTCTTCACCAATTCCTCTCTCTCTACCTCCAAAACCTGTTAACCCCTCTGAGGTAAAATTCCTCATAAACAAATTAAAACCCCGAAAATCCCCTGGATATGATCTCCTCACTTCACAAATCCTCAGACAACTTCCCAAAAAAGCAATCATATTCCTTAACTATCTATACAACTTCATCCTTCGCACAACCAACTTTCCTTTGGTGTGGAAACATTCCATAATAGTGCTGTTTCCAAAACCAGGCAAACCCGTTAATAACACATCATCCTACAGACCGATAAGCTTACTCCCTATCCTCTTAAAAATCTTTGAGAAAATCCTCCTCAAACGCATCCTACCCATACTCGAATCCCACAACATCCCTTCTCATCAATTTGGATTCCGCTCAAGACATTCCACTGTCCAACAAGGCCTTCGTGTTGTGGACCATATATCCTCTGCACTTGAAAACAAGCAATATTGCACTGGTGCCTTTCTGGACGTAGCGCAAGCTTTCGACCGGGTGTGGCACGATGGCTTGCTTTTCAAGCTCAAAACCCATTTACCCCAATCCTTATACCTAGTCCTCAAATCCTATCTCTCAAATCGTTCCTTCCAAGTCCGTTGCTGCACCGAATTCTCCACTTACTATCCAGTTGAGGCTGGTGTTCCACAAGGCAGTGTTTTGGGTCCAGTTCTCTACATCCTTCTCACTGCCGATATCCCTTCAAATCCCGATACCTTCCTAGCTACATTTGCTGATGATACTGCCATTCTATCCTCTTACTCAGATCCTCAAATAGCATCTCAAAACCTACAATCTCACCTCTCCTTGATTGAGCAGTGGTGCAACAACTGGCGCATCAAAATCAATGAAGCAAAATGCAAACATATTACTTTCACCCTGCGACGCAGATCCTGTCCCACAATCCTTTTCAATTCAATACCACTTCCCTACTCAGATACAGTCCGTTACCTTGGCTTCCTTTTAGACAAAAGACTAACTTGGAACCCAAATACGAGACGTAAAAGACAAGAACTTAACCAACGATATGGCCAGCTATATAGACTACTAAGCAGGACATCTCATCTTTCGATTGAAAATAAACTTTTAATCTACAAGACAATACTGAAACCTATCTGGACCTACGGACTTGAACTGTGGGGAACTGCTAAACATTCGAATATCAAACGCATCCAATCCTTCCAGTCCAAAGTACTTAGAACAATAGCCAATGCCCCATATTATGTCACAAATAAGACCCTACACCATGACCTTAACATCCCATTTGTCCTCGACATCATCCCATCCAGATTCTCAAACTTTCACCAGAACCTTATCCATCATCCAAATCCTCTAGCTCAATCCCTATCCAGCTCCCACCATCCCTACAATCCCCCTCGAAGGTTAAAACGGCAGTGGCCGCGAGATCTATTGTAAATATGCTTCTGGAGTCCTGGCAATGGCCAGCTTCTCCACTCAAGTCCTGAGCATCTGTGGCTCTAGTGCCCTCCTTCAGCCTCCACTGGCTTTTAATACTAGTGATGCGGCTGGAAAAGTGGCACTGGGATCTCTGGAGTCCTGCTTTGCTTTCCACATGTGGGGAGAAAAGCCTGGCTCGGAGATTCCTGGGCGAATGTATATATTGTATATAGGTATGAATGTGTTTAGAAGTTGTTATTTTATTTTTGTTATGTTTTTATTTTTTTTTTCCTATTGATTTACTTTTTTTTTATAAGTATTATTTATTTACTTCTTATATTTATAGTTTTTTCTGTATTACTTGTATATACTGTATGAATGAGAACTTCCAGCCTTAATACTTATAGCCCTCCAACAGTGGTTCATTGTATTATTATTCAATAAAAAAAAAAAAAAAAAAAAAAGTTCTCTACTAGGGGGTCCTGCTAACTGCTAAAACGCGTCGCTTCACCTTTTCTTTTGGCGCCCTCTTCTTCTTTACATATCACATGGAGTCCAGTATGTGGCCATTCTCGGCCATCTATTATCTTTTCCCCATCAATTATCTATTTTCCCCATCTATTATTTTTGTTAAATAAACAAAATCAAAGGTAATTTAGGGAAAGAAACTTTGAATTTTCGGTATTTAAGACTAATCGAAGTTACAATTGACCCCTAAGTTACTAAATAAGGTCCCTTGTAAATCCACTACAATTATCATTGTCTAAAGCACTAGCTTAGAATATGTGAATGGGTCATTTTAAACAAACAACCGACTGTAGATGGATCTTCAGGAATGTCATTATAATGATAAATAAGCTCATAAATGAATAAAAGTCAGCCATGTAGGGTATATTTAGCTTCCCCACCACCATTTCTCAAGCGGGTATGGCAGTAAGGGGCATAGCAAATTAGAACAGGGTTATGAATGTTTGGAGGAACTTTCAGACCAAGAAATAATAGTCCGCCGTACAAACCCTTTTTAATAAATTATAATTATTAATTATTTAATAATTATTAATATCTAAATAAGGTCCTACCTTAATACCTTAATACCTAAAACTTCAAGAATAGCATCTTGTTATCGTAACCTACAATTTTTTATATACAAATATTCACAATGGTGTGTTTTTTCATTAAATTAATCAATCTTGAATCACTTTGATTTTTACTTGAAACGTAACATAATATGATTACGAAATCGAGAAAAAAAAGGTGGCCTACGAAAATATTGGGCCATTTGGCCTATATAACATCGTTATTTTGACATGTTGGGGGTGGTTAATTTTGTTAAATGAAATGATATAGCCTTTATTTATGCAAAAATTAATACATTATACATTTAAATAAGTGTATTAATTAAATATACAAATAAGTATATATCACGCCAAACGGCCCAATATTTTTGTAGGACACCTTTATTGTCGATTTAGTGATAAATTATCTTACGATTCGAGTAAAAATCAAATGGGTGTTCATGTATTTTGAATCCTATATATTATTTCTAAAAGGTGTTTTTTTGTCGGTACGCCATAACTTCGTCAATTCTTCATCAAATTCAATGATTGGCCACTCATTTTGAAGATATTCTTCTCCTTCACATGCGAAAAATAGTCCCATCCCCCCGAAATTTCTGGAAAAAGTTATGGAGGAAAAGAAACTTTATTTGCGACTAACTCAAAAAGTATGCATTTTTTTGGCATTGGATCGCACCTATAATAATTAGAAAGATTACTAAATTACCAACAAAACAAAAAAAAAATCGTTAAAATCGGACTATTATTAACAAACATACAGTCCATTAGTTTAGATATGCTTAATAATGTTTTCCTGTTTAAAGATATTGCATTTAGGAATAGAATAGTCTACTTTATTATTTCTTAAATTCATTTGGTTGTTCTTACATTTCATTTTTTTAAAAATAATTTAGATTATCCTATGATTGGGGCATTATTATGTCTTTATTACTTTTATTATCATTCCAGTCAGCGTTTAAAAATAGGTCCTAGCAAAGCAATTTGTACAAATATTTTGGTCTATTATGTTTAATGGAATATTATAATCGGCTAAGGAAAAAATATTAATTCCTTCCTTACATAATACATAGGAACTACTCATTTTCATATTGTTTTGCTATTTTTCACTAAACAAATTTTTCTGCGAATTTTTCGCAAGGGCCAACTCGTAGGGGTATATAATTAAAAAGGCAATGTTTGCCGATCTTCGGTATCAACGTTATGACCAATTAAACTTTTAATCAATTTTTTTTAAAAGTACTATTTCTAGGTTTACAAGAAAACCTCTTGTCATTAGCTATTGGAATAACTATAAAGTTTCATGGGCACAGAGCGGGATCTGTTCAGCGATCTCTTGTGGTCAGTATCGCCGAGGAAGATCGATATGAGTTGCATTACATTCCGATAGCACAATCACAAAGAGCAAGATCTTCCACAGTGATACAAAGGAATCTAACTCAAAGTCATAAAGAAGAAGGATTCCGGTGTAAAACTTAAGTATATATGTTTTTGTGGTAATTTTATATTGATTTTTTTGAGCCTTGAATGTCATATAGTATTAAAAGTTGTGATTACATTTACAGCATGATAAAGCAAACAGATGTTATATAGAAAATATATCAAGGATTAGCAATAATTTGGAAGTGTTTCCTGGCAGAGGTTAACAATGTTTTATAAAGTTGGACGAAACGTTACCTGCATGAGGCGGCGAGTGTACAGCAGCGTGAGCTCTTCGTCGCTCCAGCAATCCTTCACCAGGTCCGTCTGCTTGAAGAGGACCGTCCTCACGTTGGGGGTCTCGCAGGCCGTGGTACAACCTTCGCTGGCCGCCGAACTGGGGGAAGAGTAGAGTACCACAAGCAGCCATCCCGTCCAAACGGATTCGAAACCTGCCCGCTTCTTCATGAAACTTCTTTACGGTTCAGTGAATTGAAGTAACTATACATTGAGTAATACACAATAAAATTGACTAAGTAACCTTCAACACATGTTTGCTGCATATGAATTATTTCTATAGAGATGCCTTTGCCATCTATCTAAGTCGCATAATAGGTCCATCCTAATAATTCGCATGGTACATTGGTCAGTGATCAAATGGTAATACATAATCGAAATTAGTAAATTAAATAAATTTTGAGAGGGAGAAATTAAATTGTTTATTTGTTTTTTAATACGCCCTACGAAAAAAAATAATTTATAAGAAATATTAATAAACAAAACCTGGGGCGGACCATCAAAAAGCTTCCGATTGCCACACTACTTTCTGAAAAAAATATATTTTTCTAATTAATAAACCTTAAGGATATTACTGTTAATATATAAAGACAATGTTTCAACAGTAAATATAAATTATCGCAATTCTTTGCATTACATTATGTACAGAAATATATAGTGTAAAGTAACCATAATAATTATTACAAGTGAACAGCTGTTCGTTGAAATATATTTAACTCTATATCATTAAGGGCCAGTTGCTCCAACTCAGTAAAGCTTAGATTAAGCGTTATTTAAGATTAAACCAAGTTTAATCTTGATCGGTCGACCTTAGATAACGCTTGATCTAAGCTTTACTTAGTTGGAGCAACTGGTCCTAAGTGTTCATCTTAGTCCACCGTATCCATTTTTATCAAATTGTATTAAAGTCCGTCTAAAATTTCGTGAAGGGCATCACCTTATAATAACATGGTTCCGTGGGCCAAACAGTGCAATATTTTTTTAAACCACCCTTTTTCTCGATTTCGTAATCAAATACGATTCAAGTTGAAGGCAGATGAGTGTTTAGATTCATGAGTGTTTAGTATTCCATTAAATTTATTTTTGCAAATTAAAATGTCGATAAGATGATGAGCCATTCACGAAGTTTTAGACGGACGTTGATAAAATTTGATGAAAAGGTGGTCTGTACCACAGACTATCAGGTTTTTATAAAATTATATGGGTCCACTAAATGTTATCGCTATCTAAATAATTTAAGTTATGGTGGTTGGTCAAAATTATTCTGAGCTGTGTAAAATCACTTATTGTTATTATTACGTTCACGTTTGATTTGCATTTTTTGGACTTAGGAGGCTCAGTAAAAACTGCAAATCCAAAAATTTGACCACATTACAATGATTTCCTTTTGTAGAGGTAAGAAAGTAAAAACTTTGTGTAGATTGCTATTCATGCCAAATTACTATCACCAAAGCATCAGGTGTTAAGTGAAGTTAAGTTTTAATTTACTCATGCTTTCGTAGGTCTTCTAGTCCCCAGCGACTAGCAAGCTGTCACCTTGTCAAATAAATTAATAAATACCAGCTGACTCATTTGGTGTAGCGCGGGATATCTGGGCTAAGCTATGAGCTAGGAACCAAATCCAAACCTGCTGAATCATGACTCTTAGCTCACAACATGAAGATTCTTTCCCCAAACCTTTCGATCTTCACAACGCAGGAAAAATACGATTCAACATATCTGTTTTGTTTTTTGTTAACACCATTTAAATATATTTTATTTTTTATTTCTTAAATAACATAGCATTCTGTCACACGAACAAGGTTATAATGAGGTAAGACTACGTTCATACACACACACACACTACACCACAGGCGGATCTATGGGGGATCTATCTTTGGGGCTGAAGCTCCGTCCAAAATGGTAAAACATAACCATGTTTTATGGAAAAAAATATTTAAAAATTATCTCTTAAAGTATTATTGTTCATGTAATTACATTTAAAATGAAATTAGGAATCACTTAAACACCATTCATTTCATATAGGTAGTTAATTTCAAAATTTTAAAATACTTTAATATTATATTGAACAATCTTTGCTAAAAATCTCACAGTCTTTGAGATATTCTTAAAAAAACTAAAAAAAAAAAAACATTTTTCTATCCTTCTTCCCTTTCCCCATCAAAACCCGACGCGGGATTCTTTGATACATTTTGCCAGTTATTATAGAGAGAGTAATAAATATTTTCTGGCAAGTTTCATCTACATTTTTTGAAAGTTGGGGTAAAGCAGTTTTCTTCCCCATCTTTACTGGACTATAAAGCCAGTGGAGATTGAGCAAGAGCGCTTTAGCCACATAGAGATGCCCAGAAGGTAGTCTTCAAAATTAATGAGAGGAGCACTTTTTGACGGGGTTTTTAATTTTTAAGGGGGCATATTTCGACAGGATTATGAATTTTCAAAATGAAAAGTTTTAAATCGAAAGACAAGTGGAATCATGGAACAGATCACAGTATGTATAATGGCATATAATCTACGAATATTCAGATTCTATTTTCGTTTGCGCTGTTTTTAAAAAGAAGAAAGGAATAAAATATCTTGGGTGGGACGAGGGAAGGTTTATGCGCCATCGGCCTTTGGGTGGAGGATGGGGCCCCTGCTCATGTCTTCATTGCCAATAACTACAAAAGGTTGTGGGGCCACTTCCGTTATAATCTTTTTGGAGGATTACATGAATGGCTGGTGATAGATAGGGATTGTACAAGGGGATTTAGATGATACGTAAGGTCTGTTGGAATTTTTCTGAGATAAGGTCTAGGAAAAATGGGATGTTAAGGTCACGGTGTAGAGTTTCGTTGTTTACATAAAACGGAGCAGCTACTATGGTACGAAGTACGAAAATTTCGCTGCCCCACATTTCTAGTCCATAGGTCGAAATAGCTTCCAGGAGTGTCCTATAGATCATTAATTTGAAAGTTGAGATTTAGTCAATAATGTGTAAAGTTGGCCGTATCGTCGGCTAAGTTCTAGCCTCTTGAATTAAGTAAGTGGGTGCCACTTTAGTCGGTGTCCAAAAGGAAGCCATGATACCGGACTGTATCTGAGAAGGGAAGTGGTATAGAGTTAAAAAATATTAATGATATGCTTGTGCTTTGATTCATTTCCTTCATGATTCATTACACCAATGCCAATTCAAATTAAATATAAAAAATAAACATAATGCTGTATAACACTGCTGTATAAAAAGAGCTGTTACGATATAAATATATATATATATATTGATATATCGATATTTCCTTCCAATATTGTATCGCTACATAATAATAGTCAGAAGGTATTCGTATAACATATCGTTGGAAATCGAAGAATTTTAGAAACAACAATATCTAATATAAAAATTTGTAGAAGGCAACGGAGAGTGGCAAAAAAAATATAAATAATATTTTTTTAATAAATCACATATTTTCAAGGAAAGTAAATGAAATTTACTAACTGAATACAAACTTTTAAAAATTTTAAGTTTGAAAAAAGTACTTATAATCCACCCAATCAAGTCAATGACATTTTTTAAAAAAACTATTTTATTGAACTTGTATGAAAGGAGAAGTAAAATATAAAATCATTTCATGGATGTATAAAGCATATGTTTATAACCTTAAATACATTTATAATAGTTTAATAATTCTGGATCTGATGTTATATTTAAATAATTAGGCATCAACGTCCGTTTATTCCAAAAAATCGTCATGTAAATTTAAAAAAAATTAAATTGATGAATTTTCCCCTTGTTAAATCCTAAAGCTATCGTGTTTTCCTCCAATATACCATTAATTTGGTTTGTTACAAATAATAACTATTTCTCATTGTTAGGAGTTATAAAAAGATGCTAAATATAACTTTTGAAAGAATTTGATTATTGAATATACTTATACGTATAATATATCGTTGGAAAGCGGAGAATTAAAAATACAAAACACATCTAGTATAGAAAATTGGAGAAGGTAAGGTAGAAAGGGGAAAAGAATATAAATAATAATTCCTTAAAACTAACATTATTTAATATAAATCACGTGTTTTCAAGGAAGATAAATGAAATTTGTTTACTAAATGTATACTTTTAACTTTTTTTTTTTAACTTGAAAAAATATTTCAAAAATCCATAGATTCAAGGCAATGACATATTTATGACGATATTTATGGCAATGATATAAAATGACGGATTAAGATAATATTTCATTCTACTTGTATGAAAGAAGAAGTGAAATATAGAAATATTTCATGGATATGTTAATAACTTTTAATATATTTACTGTATTTTGTTAGGTTTCTAGAATAACTCTAGATCTGACATTATATTTAAATAATTAGGTATCTATGGTCTGTTAATTCCGAAAAAACCATCATATAACCTTCTATAAAATTAAAGTAGTGAATAATTTGATGAATTTTCCCTTTGTGATATTCCAACAGTATCCACTTTCAATTGGTGTGACAACTTTTGACCTGTCTATGACAGACAATGCAAATCTCTTAATTCCGTTTTAGTAAACTTTGCAAAATAACATTAAAACATGCAAAATAACAGTTTAATAACTAATAGTGGTACAATCCATAATCAACGGATCGTGCAATCCATAATCAACGGATCGTACAATTCATAATCGACCGGTGATATAATAAATAGAAATTGTGTTATTTTAGTGGTATTTGTGATTTGTTAGCAGTAAGATTTTAGCTTTAGCTCGTTTAAAAAGGTTATTCAAAAATTTTATAATAGGCCGACATGGCCAGAAAATAATTTCTATTCAAAGTTGAGCGGTAAGTGAAAGTTGTGTTGCGCGCACCAGAATTTTTAAATTAAGTTAAGCGGAAGTTTAACTTTTTTCTGGTTTTGATTCTGCAAAATATCAACATTTAACGATATAATAGTATAAGTAAATACTTATATTTATACTGATGGCATTTCGAACAAAATTGTATTTTATGCGATGGGAACGTTTCATATTTGGTACAAAAACAAAACTTCTTGTTTACTAGGTTCTATCAATAATTAGTAGATACAATTATTTAATCCGTAAAAAACACCTTTAAGAAAAATAATGTGATTTTTGTATTTAACTTATCTAAATTCCGTAACTTTCAAAATGTAGAATTCTATTCATCGGAGAGACCTCATTCAATCGAGATACTAA